TTTTTAAGAAAAAATCTAAATTTATTTTTTGAAAAAACTTTAAGGTTATGTTATTTAAAGATATAAAAGGCCATGATGTTCAGTATAAAAATGTGATTTAAAATCATTTTTTTTAAGGTTAGTATTTGTGAAGATGAAGATAATTGCTAAGCCACTGTAAACCATGACCGTCCTACTTTAATGCTCTGTATATGGAAAACGCGTCAATCAATTTAATAAATATTGGAGTATAGTTAAACGCCACGAATAAGGCACGAGCGAAGCTTGCAAAAAATATAATAATAAGTGTTAGGATTCCGTTTTTCCGACTTTTACAAAGGCAGTGTTAGTTTATCAAATTTTTCTGTAAAAATCAAAATGTATGCATTAAAATATACTAACAACTTTAGTTTTTCACATTGAAAGTAAAGAAAATGTTTTATGGGTACTAAACCCGAAAATGCTTTATCGACAAATACTATTTTTTTTGCCGGCGAAATTGTAAGGTCAGTAAAAAACTTTTTAAGTTTTTTTTAAGATTTTGGGATTTTGAGCATTTAGGATTTTTTTATTTTTTTTTTAACCTTTAAGAGCTTTTCAGTTTTTTTTTGGATTTTTATTATTTTGAGAAATTTAGGAAATTTGTTCAACCTATAGGTTTATATTTATAGTTTTACTATGCAAATTTTTAGTTTTTAACCACTGTTTAGTTATAATTAACGAAAAATCAAGTAAATTAGGGACAGCTTGAGTATTTTAAGAATAAGTGCTTGTGTGTGATTCCAAAAGTTTTGGGTTTAAACCTGTCCCCAATTTACTTTATTTTGCAGTAATCATTACTACACAGTTTTTTTCATGTGTGCAATTAATTAATTCTACCAGTTTTAATTTTGAACTAAAATGCGAATTTGTCCTACCATTTCTTAAATTTATGCGGCGGTGCAAATGTTCTGATACATTAATTTCAGAGTTTGTAACGCCAAGGTTTGGGTTACTTCGTCCAAAGTTTCACTTAAAAAAAGTCAAAAATTATCCTGTTTCTATCCCATTCCCGTTCCGTTCCAAAACCTAAGGCACCAAATATCATAAAATACTTTCGAAAATGGTGAATGCGCCGGGATTAAAATTACATTTTACCCAATTTACCTCATTTAAGAAGAAATTTAAAAAAATCATTTTATAAAGGTCATTATATGAATGTACTGTTATTAAAGCCATGTAGGTTCAGAGGATATGGATTCTAGTAAATATAACTATTGCTATATTAATATATACAATATAATATATTATACCAGATACAAAACATGTCATGTGAGATTTTATTTTAAGATAATAAAATTTCAATAATAACATTTTGATTTTTCCTATCTTATAAGTGGTCAGCAGATTGCAACAACCATAACAATATTATAACAGTAAGTAACTTTTAATAAAATAATCTATACACACGCGGGTAAAATCTTAAACCAATTATAAAATACACTTTTAAAATTGCATATTTCATAATAACACAAATAAATCACCCATGGATTGCAATTATTTAACAGTGTTAAATTTTGATGCAAAATTAACTCATTACAAAATACTATAAATTAACAAGCAGAGTATTAATAAATATCTGTAGAAAGTCTATCCCAATGGCTTCCAGCATTCGCAATCGTATTTAAATAATAGCTAAAAATATATCAAGAAAGTCGATTTTAAATACTACTGGTTTCCATCTAATAATCTTATGTGGCCCACATAATGTGGGGCGAAAAATCAATATGGGATTGTCTTAGAATTATGTAAATTGAGTAATGATACTATGATAGCATATGGCGATATTAGGATTAATAGTTTCCTGTTATATAAAAACTAATTTTAATAGCCTTATGGTATTTATTTTTATTTAAAAATTTAAAAGGGTACATTCCTTAAAAATATAATAAATCATATTGAGTAAAAGTAAACGTTATTTATGATACAGACATAAATGATAGGATGTAATGGGCGATTATTTGACAACAGAATATTTTGCACTAAAAACCGTTTAAATAAAAAATTAATATTAGTGTATTAAATAGTACATTATAGAACAGGCGGAAATATCTCATATTATAGCCGATCGTATTGTTTTATACAGTATTAAATTAGAATATTTGTCACATTACTTTAAAGTAAAAGGGTCTTTCCATCTTAAATCGACCAAACAAAAACAATTAAAAAAAAAATGTAACGATCTAAAAATTTTTGGCCAAGTTAATAATGTCATTCGTAAAAAGAGAAAAATTGAGGTTTCTGTCTATTTTTCAAAAATTTCCTACAGGTAAATAAAACAAATTTTAGCAAAAAGAAAAAATATAGGTCTCATCGATTTTGGTAGATAAACTGTAAACAATTCGTTAAAAAATAACGACCCACCCCGTTTTACCTGGTGGATTTGGGATAGACCCAAAATTCAACTGACTTGATGACATTTAAGCTTTATTTTAATACGGAGGTTTATAATAATTTGACTTTTAAACTACATCTCCTTCTCTTGTATTTTAGAATAGTTCAATATTTTTTTTCTACTCCCACCTTTAATCGCCCTTTATCGTACATGTTTCCATGACACTAAGTGACTTTTTATATACACATTGACAAGTTGTGGCTTTATGGCGCTTTAGTCACTGACTAAAGTTAGCAACAGGTTTTTAGTCACGGGCTGAAGTTTTAAGTTAGTTGACAGTTGTCAAATAAAGGCCTTTCTTGTAAAATAATACTAAATGTGAAAATTATTTTATTATCTCAATACGAAAATACAAAAGAATTAAATAGTTTCTTAACGCCAATATTTGAAAAGTTTATATGAACATTGTACTGACCTTTTAATTTCGCCGGCAGTAAACTATAACTTAAATTCGGGCACGGACTCCACTGTAAAGTGCTCATAAAACATTTTCTTTACTTTCACTGTGAAAAACTGTCAATTTTCAAGAAATACATTTTGATTTATAACCTTTATAATGTGTGTTCAAATTTAAAAATGTGACATTTGACAGTGACATACAGATTCCCCTATTGTTTCATAGATGGCGCTCTATACAAATTTTTAATTTAAATTATTTTAAGATAATAATAAGTATTTGTCGTAGAAAAAGTATAGTATGCACCTCGTTTATCAACTTTTTTATACACTCATTAATTTCGTGTATAAAATGACGTTTATCAAACTTGATACATAATGTACTATTAGGGTTTAATAGTATTTTAAATAAAGAAAAAAATGATTTAAATAAAAATATTTTTTTTATTTAGTATATTACATTTAAAGAGCGTTTAAAATATAGCAATATTTTGTGCTTTATCAAAAAAAAGAAAATGACCTATTTTTTTATTCTGTTATAGGTAACTACTTAATCTTTAATTAAATAATTAATATTTCTTTTAAAATTAATATTTAGATATGACATTTTATTTCAAAGATCTGTAAACAAGTCTTATTCACCAAAATATTATAATATTTTTATAATTTTATGAAGTCAATTATATTGAGGATCTGGACAATATTACCAATTTTAAATAAATAACTTAAATATATAAATTCAATAAAAAAAATAATATATTTAATATCTGGAACAGTTCCTTTAACAAATATATTAATATTACCAATCTTTTTAAAAAATATTAAGAATTGTATGGCTAGTCGGTCGCATCTTTAGTAAATGTCAACGTGTTTTTAGGAAGAGTAGAGACACTTTAACTGCAATTTTATAAATGGCCAAATTAGTTAATGACACCTTAGTAAGGCCTTTGACTGTCTCTCACTATAATTCCAAAGAAACTAAAGGCTTACAATTTTTCACAGAAAAGTTTAAAACCTATTAAGTCATAATTGTAAGGTACTATGTAAGATTGAAGGCAGGGTAAGCCAGGGGATGTAGTTACAAGTTGGCGTACCTCAGGGATCTGTTTTTGGCCCAATCCTGTTTTTGATTTTCATTAATGACTCGACCTAAATTAACAGCGCAATAAAATTTAAATTTTTTGTTGTTTATTATAAATTACTTAGATTTGGGTCTAACAAAAAATTGAGGCCTGTCATAGCAAAACCGACAATCTCCACTTTTGGTCAAAAATTGGATTTTTGGCGGAGACTATACTTTAACTAATTATCTATAAGATGATACAGTTTATGTGCTGCAAAAGGAGGTAAATCCTGCCTAAAATCCTATTTTTAAAATGACATTTAGTGTAAAGTCGACAATCTCCACTGATAGATTTGCAGCAAAGTATACAATCTCCAATTCCACCATTAGAAATTAGTAATTTGTGTCACCTGATATTCTAACATTTGATGTTATAACGTATTTTAGAGATTTAATTTTGTGTTTTTTTACTGGTACATACTGTTAAGTTCTATTGCAGTAAATTGCACTTCAAAAATATATTTAAAATAGGTAAATCTATATTTTATTGTTTTAAGAATTATTAAAAAAGTTATCTTGTTTATTTTGTGCTATTATTCCATAATAAGACGAAAAGGTAAAGCAAAAAAAGGCTAATAATGTCAAAACATTGCAAGTAAAGCATTACGGGGCAAAGTGGGAAGGAGATGATGAGTTGTTGTACTATAAAAAAAAATTTGAACGAGGCAACCTGGTCCCAGATTTAGAAGAAACTCCAGATTTATGTGGTCCAGTTCAGAAAAAAATTTACAAATGTAGAATTTAAAATACCAAAATCAATGATCTCAATTTACTCAGTTTTAGTCTGACGGGAGATTGTTGACTTTGCTCTGACAGGCCTCAATTAAACACTGCTATATTTGAAATGCGTAATTTAATAAGTGGTGTTTCTGGTGATGTACTGTTATTAACTGTTTGAAGCACATTTTTGTTTGTTATTCATCTTTTTATTTTTTACTCCTAATTTATTTGACGTTTTAAAGACTTTTATTAACACTAATAAAGATTACTATTATAATTATTATTTTGGAAATAGGTATTTATTAAAATATCACCTGTTATTATTAAAATCTGTAAAAATTGGCTTACCCATAATCCCAATATTCTCTCATGGAAGCATTTAAATGGGTGTGTCCTTCAGAATATTCAGTTCCTCTGTAGTTTCCCAACCAAACATCATAACCGGCGTCAGACAGGAGAAAGGCTTAAAATATAAACTTTTTAATAAATAAAAAGAATATGTTCCTATCCAATGAACAATCTAGAGATTGCCATTTAGTTAACTATTATAAAATTCTATATTTTGTTTATATAGGAAGTAAAATAATTAGAATGTATTATTTTACAGTAGACATTTACCTAGAGAACTCCTTCCAAGACCAACAAAAATTCCAGCAGAACTTTGTACACCGTGGAGCATGAAAACTGCAGGTTTCTTTTTGTTTACGCTGGGTATTCTAAACACTGTCAAAATGTACCCATCCCTTGTTTGAACTTTGTACTCTATAAAAGGGTACCCCGATTTCTTAATAATATCTGGCTGCAAAAAAAACAGATACAGTATTTTAATCATTAAAGACATCTAGACTCAAGATCTAATTAGATTATTTCGGTAGAAATAAAAGATATCCATTTATGTTCAGGAAACTGCATGAGTTGTTTAAGCATCATTTATACGTTTGTACATACATGGTGAATTCTTGTTGCGTGTAAATAAATTAGAAAAGTACTTAAGTGAAAATAAGAAAATTAGCGTTGCATCATAGGAAATATATATATAATTCTATACCATAATCATTACCACAAGGGTTACGTCAAAGATCAATAAAGGTTAAAACTAACTCAATTTTTAAAATTAATGCACAACTTATTGAGGGTTAAAATTTTACGATTTTGACCAAAAGATAATAATAATACCTTTTGCGGTCTTTAAAATATAATAATGGCAGTAATTTAATTTTTTAGGTTAATACATTTAAATTTTTTTATACATAACAAGATAATTTGATTTGTTATTACTTTTATCTTCAAGCGTTCCTTAATTTAAGCTTTTTTATTGTCAACGCTAACTACCAATGTTTTCGATTATCTCCTAGGCTGTAAAAATAATTTAGACCTATCAGGTAAAATTATACTTAAATAACACAATTTCTTGGGTTGATTTATTTGTAGCGTTTCTTTTTATCTATCCATAAAAAAATGATCTGTTTTTTTTTAGTTTTTTATCAATCAATTATGACGCAGTTATTTAAACGTTTAAATGGATTTCCACCAAATATTGCCACAGTCACGTTTATATTCAATCACTTTAATTTAGACTGTATTAAATCGTGGTGCCAATGTGCCATAAACATTTTTCATCTTAGATTTAATTTATTTAGATGCTTTTAAATCAACTTTTTCTGTCTGTTTATCTTGGTCTGAATATATTAAAAGTTGGTAGTAAAACACACAATGAATAATATTCATTCATTCATTTAATATGTCCGAAATTTTGACAGAAGTCCACTAAAAGATATTGGATTTCTCCTTTTTATTATAAATTTTTAATTGGTTGTGTCTAATTCTAATTTTGCAAAATTATTTCTAAATAGTTCCTAATGGTTAATTTAAATAAAATACCCATTTAAAAAATTATCGTTAATAACGGTTACAAAATTCGATAATGGTTTTAGTTGTTTTAAATTAAATATCTATTTGCAAAATTTGTTAATTACAAAAATTATTTCGTAGCTTTATTGTTTTATTTTTTTAAATTCTATTTTGTGTTTGTTTTCTTTTAAATTTATATAACGAATTTTTTTAATGTATAAAGAAAAATATGTATACCTACCTACTTTTTAAATACTTAACCCTTTATCCGGAATTGCAGATTCATAAATATTTATGCTATTTTATTATTATTGGTGTATTTTTAATTTACTATTATTATTTTAAGTATGGGGCCGCCCATAAAGTATGTCACATTTTTTGGGGATTTTAGAGCCCCGTCCCCCCTGTCACATATTGTCACAAAGTTTAACTCCCTCCCCCAAGGTCACACGTCAATGGGATTTTTTTAAATTTTTTGTATAAATCCCATTTACCATTTTTTTTTATCGGTATCGGTGTACCTACCGCACGCAAGTCATGCTCCAGTATCTTCGCAAATTGTAAGTATACTTATATAATATATGTATATAGTAGGGTGGGTTGAAAACAAAATGTTTGTTTTTATCTTAGCATGGGGGTAGAATTTTTCAAAAAAAAAACTTTTTTACTTAACAACCACTCGGTTTTTAAATAAATATTTTTTCAAATGGGGTAGTTACAACGGCAATTTTTTGTTGTTCTAGAATCTGTATGGTGTCCCCTTAAAAGCCAATTGGTAGTCAAAAGTTGAAAAAGTTTTTTCCCCGTTGTTTTGTAATTTAAGTAAAAAATTAAAAAAGAAATGCACTTTCTTTTGTTTTAGAATGAAAGTTTAGTGAAAAGAATAACGTTCTACAATTTTTACATGTTTTCCACGATTTTGGACCAACAAAAAATTTCCCGTTGGAACTACCCCATTTAAATAAATATTTATTTAAAAAACGAGTGGGCCACCTCAAGATGTTGAGTAATTTTTTTTTTCTTTTAAAAAATTCTACCCCCATACTTAGAAAATAAAACAAACATTTTGTTTTAAACCCACCCTAGTATATAATACTATACTATACTTATATTATATGGATAATTAGGGTGCTTCAAAAAATAAAAAATTTTTTTCGCTCTTACCCTCTTAAATGTTTCTATTTAACCCTATAAAAAAATCCTCACCAAATATGGGCGTTCCAGCTCAACTCTAAGAGGTCACTGTTTTTATTTTAGTTTACCATTTAATTAAAATGGTAAAAATAATTGTATGTTTGGAATTTTATGCAAAACAAGGCATCGGGGGGGCAAAATGGGGGTACCAAAAAATTTCCTAAAAAAAATTTTTTTTAGATTGTTTTTTTTCGGTTTCTAAATTATTTGAAAATTTATTGACTAACAAGTTCAAGCTTTTAATCGAAAATAATTATTCTGAGCCTGAAAACGGATGGTACAATTTTTGAAAACTTTTCATAAGCTCATTTTTTGGGTACCCCATTTTGCCCCCCTCCGCTGCCTTGTTTTGCCCCCTTTCACCTCCTTTCTGCTAATTGTACCATAAAATTAAAAAAAAAACAGTATATAGTATACTTAGTAAGTATAATTATGGAATAAATACTTTAAGTATACTATATATAGCGCTTTGACCGTAGGTGGCATATTTATACTTTTTTAAGTTAATCCTTACTACTTTATTTAACGAAATAAATATTTTCATTACAAAACACCTTCGCACCTTGGGTTTCCACAAATCAAAATTTCTTAAATATAATAATTATAGTATTTTATTCAAAATAGGGGGGAAGTTATTTTAAGCATAACTTTTTTCCGGAAAGTGGTTTTTGATTTATTAAATTTACCAAAGAACTGTAATGTGCATAATGATAACAATAACTAAGAGTATACGGAAACGGAAGGAGCAAAATTCGTCAAATAAAATAAACCAATCTAATGAGAGTCAGCTTTCCTGAAAATCCTATACTAAACATAAGAGAAATTTAAAATAAAACCTTAACAAAAACATCAATTCTGGAGTCACTTCAATTGTGCACAAAACAAGTTCAATATCTTCCTAATATTTGTTAAAACTACCTATACTTGCCAGAACACTACTGTTTTGGTATTTATTAACGAGGTGTTTTAATTGCTTTAAGACGTTTACATTATAAATAAGAAAGATAAAAAAATAACACATCACTTGTTAAAATGAATGCATCGATTTGCTTTGTGCATGTTACTCCTTTTAGAAAGCATTTTGATATGTTAAGATGAATCTTTGATTTTAACAGATCACTTTAGAGTTGTGGGATGTGATGGGACAAACGTTAAAGTTGGAAAATTTAATGGTATAATTTTTTAATTAGAAAAACGTTTAATCGGTTATTTCAATGGCTTGTTTGTCAGTTGCATTTCAATGAATAATTTAATTATTGTCTGCGACACCTTATATATTTTTGTGATGGCAGTATAAGTGGACCTCACAACTTCACTGGACTTATAGGGCAGGAACTCAAGGGATATGAAAATTTACTTGTTAAATTTAATGTATTTTAATCAAATGTACCAAAGGAATCAATTGCATCTCATTGATAATAAACAATCAAGCCTACTTTTAACGTCTGAAAAATGATTGAACTGTCTAGGTATTTACCAAAAGATGTGGTGAACATGAAAAATTTATTTTTACATGTAGAAAATTTGTTGCTTGGAATGCTAGGAGACCCATAACACTTGGGAAAGCTTGATTTTCTTATATATCCCAACGATTAAGAACGATAATTGCTGAATGCTACGGATTATTCCGATTTTCATTGTGTAAAACCCGAGTACATCTGTACTATTATCTGATTTAAGGCTGTATTCATCTCATACGCAAGCTGTTAACAAACTGTCAAACGTGATAGAAGAAGTACTGAAAATCAAGATGGCGTAATTCGAGCCAAATTAGAATCAGGTCCTCTTTATATCGAAAAAAGATTTCAAATTAGGTTAGGTATGTATTTTTGACAGTTATCAAATAAAGGAATTTGACGAGTAGAACCCTATAAAGGAGGTGACGTCATACTTAATCCAATATGGCGAATTACCTATTTCATCATAAGCTTCTAATTATGGATATTAAATTTAAGCGTTTGACAGGTAGAAAACGATAAGGTGACGTCATATTAAATCCAATATGGCGTATTACCTACTTCTCTACAACCTCCTTGACATGGGTGTCAGCAGAATACGTGACTTTATTCTAATTTCATTATGGCGGATGTAACCCACTAGCCAAATTTAAAAAGTAAAAAATAAATAAAATTAAAAAAACTTATTTTTAACTTTTTGGTGCCTTAATGTTGAGTTTTAGAAAGATTGACCGTCTGGTTTTCGAGTAAAAAATCATTAAAGTTGCGTGTTTTTTTTTAAGTATACTTTTTTTATTTTGACCAATTTTAGTATACCAAATTGGGTGGTTTATGTAAAAAGATTCCAGCTTTTAGAAATGTATGAATGATATTAAAATTTTCTTCTACAATACAAAATAAATTTTTCATAAAATTTCTAATAAGATAATTAAAAATGACTAAACTATGATATTATAAAACCAAACTAATCACACAAATAATAAACAAGTTATGTTGTAGTAATGTTTACTAAATTCTAATACCATTTAAATAAAACTACTAATTTGTTGGTGCAAAAATAGCTTGTAAAGTTTAGTAAATTAATAAATCATTAAAAATATAAAAATAAAGAAATATTTTCCTATATATTTTTTAAATTTATGTACTTGTAGGCTATTTTCTATAAATTTTTTGCTTGAGTTTTAAAGCGTTGATAACAAAATCAGTTTAACCTTTTATGATTTTCTTATCTTTGTTTTCTGCTCTTCTCTTGAGACTTTTGCTGCATTCAATATACTGCATGTTTTCTGTTGCTTTATTTTTGGTTGTTATACTTTTTTAATAGTTTTTTTCTTTTTAGTGGACTTTACTAATTTTAAAGAACAACAGAACATAATAATTCGTTTTCACAATTCATTTTACATAACACTGCATATAGAAATGTCACTGCCACTGTCAAAAGATTATGTTCTGTTGTTTATTTCTGTATTTTGTGATAAATAAAAAATAATTATAAAACCAGTTAAAAAATTGTTTGTTTTTTAAATAAAATATATTAAAACGTTAGAGTTAATTTTGTTTTAGCAAGTTGGTACCTAACCCTATTTATGCATTATCAACAACTTTCCTGCAATGTACTGCCCGAACCTTCTTAAAGAATGTTTTTTGTTTTTTTTAAGTAAAACTTTTTTATTTTGACTTATATTAGTATACCAAAATGGGTAGTGTTAGTAAAGAGATACTAACTTTTAGAAATTTAAAAATGTCATAAATATTTTATCTGAATGATTTAAATTTAGCTTAGTTTCTTTTACAATAGAAAATTTTTTATAAAGTTTTTAAGATCATTAAAAATATTAAACTATGATATTATAAAACCAAATTAATTACAAGAATAATAAACAAGTTCTGTTGTAGTAAAGTGTTCAAAACACCATTTGTTAAGTTTATTATCATTAAAATCATTAAAAATGTAAAAATAAAGAAATATTTTCCTATATATGTATATATTTTTAAGTATACTTGTAGGCTATTTTCTATATATTTTTTGCTTGAATTTTAAAGTACCAATGTAAAGCTTACAAAAAAAAATCGTCACCAAGATTTTCTACAATGCAGTATTAATAAAAAATAAATACCTTACCACTTTATCAACAGCAGCAAAATTATACCAACAGTCGGTGTTATTCCTGATGTTAATGTAATCAATGTACGTAGGGCACACATTGTTTTCGTACTCACATTTTGCAAAAGCAACAAACAAGCACGTGAATATCAGATGTAAATATGACATAACTCTTATGGCACTATTGTAAACAATACCTGCAACACTGCAATTTCACTGAATATATCAAAGCAGTCGGTTTTACTTTCTTCCGTTTTTTAGTTACAATTCACTGCACTTTGAAGAATAAGACCAAAAAACACTCACTACGATTAATTACATTGATAGCCAATTACAATGTAAACCTTCAATAATTTTACGTAAGAAAAATAAAAGATGTTATTTTATTCGCGAAAATTTTAGTTTTGCACGGAGGTGTTCAATTATTAAGGCGACTTCGACACAGCTGTATTTTTATGAAGGTGAAAGAAGATAGCAAAAGGATTTCAAGGTTTACCAAGTGAATTAATAATTATTGTTGTCTTTAATGAGCCTTTTCCATTAATTGTTTAGTTTAATCACATAACAATTGCATTAATATAACTATTAGTTTCCGCTTAAATTTGTATAATATACCTTTGAACAAATATCTTAAGTTAAAAATAAATCTTATCTACTCCAAATTGCATAATATGTTTTTTTTCTTGAATAATGATAATCATTTTAAATTTCCTGCCGGAATAATGAAATGTTATTTATTTATTTTTAAAAATCATTTATCTAGTTATCGGAGTAGATAAAGAATAGTTTCCAGTCTGACGATTTGAGACCCAAACTTCATCGTGAATAATAGCCTTCATTATCTCTAGTATAATAATATACTATTATACATTACTGGGTATAGAAGGGTAAATAGAAGCGCGTATGAGTAATTTTTAAATGAGTTGCCTAAGATACTTTTGCTACGACAAATTTTTAATATTATCAGAAAAATGATTTAAATTAAATATTTGTATAAAGCTACATCTATAAGAAAATAAAGTAACCATCCCAATAAACATTTTTGGCGTAATTTCTACCATTGCCCGTTATTATTTTAATTAAACAATTATTGATACTTTAAAATAATATAATATGATTATGTTAAGCAAATATGTTATCCTTTAAGTTTTTTTATTACTATAATTGCAAAATATTATCACAAAGTATTAAACATTCTTACACGGGAAATATTAAAGGTACAAAAAGTGACATTTGTATTTATTGGAATTCCCGTTACTTGGAAATCTACCGGGTTTAAAATCTCAAATTTTTCTGTGTAAATAAAAAATTATCCCTTGAAAATAAACTAACAATCGATATAGAAGCAGTTTTTCACAGTAAAAAAATAGAATGTTTAATGGGCACTGTACGCAAAATTTGTAATGATTTATCAGTTAAATCTAGTTAACTGTACTACTACGGCTAAATCAAAAGGTCAGTACAAACGTTCATATAATATTTTTAAATTATTTAAACTTCAGCTCGTGACTAAAGAGCCTTAAAGCCACATCTTGTCAATGTGTATTTAAAAGGTCCTTAGTATTTTAGTGTCACTTAGAGTTTTAAAGGTGGGAGTAAAAAAAATAATGTTAGTAAAAATTTGTTTAAAATACAAAAGTACTCATCAATGGTGTGTCACAATAGTTTTAATTTTTTTAACACAAACTCTAATAAAACACTAGGTCAATCCATAACAAACGTTTTTGTAAAAGTCACACAGCGTTTTCAAGTTAAACCTAAATGCCTGCATGAGGTAAAGAAAAAATTGTTTTAAATCGTTTTCAATTATTTAGTTTACCTTATCTGGTTATGTGTATAGATACTGTGAATTGCGTCTAATTCCCAGGGTAAAATCTTTGTCCCCTTCTCAACCCTCTGAGGATTTGGATCACAATATATATTCGAAAAAAAATATTGTCTATATATTTTATATGCTTATATACATGTTTGACTAAAGAATATTAAATATAATATGCAATAACTTATTTGACGCGATTACATATTGTAACAAGAAAAACGTGTTCCCTTATGGGACAGTAAAAAAATATGTATAAACTTTCTTTAATATACGTAAACATGGACTGTTAATGAAAAATAAATTTTAGTACTTAAATTTACATGTAAATTGGTTTTCTAATATACAGGATTGATACAATAAACGGTTGCATTTCCAACGTATAAATATATGTAAAATGTGCTTATAAAGTTTTTTGTAAATCCTTAGTCAACTAAGTTAAATCACATAAATGTTGCTGAATCGCATGCATGTAATGCATGTAATTACGCAACTTTTGAACTCTTGATGCCCTATTCCAACTATAACCGTTTCCGAGATAGCAATGCTATCCCATCACATTTTTGACACCCTGTATATGTTTAAAGAAAAAGATCAAAGATCAAAATGCATTTATTTCCAGGATATTTCTTTTTTGCGATAAAATTAAATTTGACACTCATTTAATTTTAATAATATAAAATCGTTTGCGATGGTAGACCAATCTACTAAGCAAAACAAAAATGATTAAAAATACACTTAATTATTCCTTTTCTCAAATTGTTCTTTAATTAGTTTTAAAAGATGAAGGTATTTTAAAACCAATTATACAAAATTAAATATGCTTCTTAAACCTAATTACTATATTCTAATTGCAATGAAAACCCTGCTTATGGACTTAACATTCAAGAAGAGTTACATATGTTAAATACCTTAAATAAACAATTACTTTTCTTATTTATTATGCTTCATAGTTATACTATATTTATTGCAAATATAATAGTTGGTTGCCTACAATAATAAACTGTAATATATTTGTTTACCCATAGGTTTGCACACCTCTTCATACATATAATGTTCTAATATTTTGCAATACATTACAATACGTAAATTATATGTAGGTTGGGCTATGTTGTCCTGATATTAATAAATATTTATGTTGATATTATAAATTATTTAGTTAATTATAATTATTAATTATAGTATATCATGTATTAAGTTTGATAAACGCAATTTTAGTTACAAAGTTTAATTAAATGAGTGTATAGAAAAGTTTAGAAACAAGTTGCTTACTATACTTTTTTATGACAAATACTGTATAGGGCGACATCTATACAAAAGTAGAGTAAGTGTAAGAATAGAAATCTGCATTACCGGCGGAAAATGTCAAATTTTTGTGTGTAAATCGAAATGTATTCCTTGATAATGGACAACCGTTTAAATTCGATATAGAAGCAGTTTTTCACAGTGAAAGTAAGGAGAATGTTTTATGGGCAGTTTATGGTGGAGTCTCCACCCTAAATTTTTAATTATTTATCAGTTAAATCTAGTTTACTGCCCGCCACAGTCTTATACAAGACCGTGTTGCTGAATAAATCAAAAGATCAGTATTAGTACTTTAATTATTATAGTTGAGAAACCAATTGATAGTTTTGAATTTTTTTATTAAGAAAATTTTCACATTTTGTATTATTCGGCGGTTAACGGTTATATGACATTTGGCAACTTTCTACTAACTTAAAGCTAACTTCAGCCCGTGACTAAAAACCTGTTCCTTACTTCAGCCCGTGACAAAAAAGCGTATGGCCATAGCCATAGCATGTATTTAAAATGTATTTAAAAGATCACTTAGTGTAATGAAAACATATACTATATTGAGCGTTTTAAAGGATGGAAGTGCGAAAAATATACGAAATTTTGTTTTGTCTACAGACACCTTAATAAATTAATTATACAAATTTGTTATTTTCTGAAAACACAACAAATTTTATTTAACTTTATACACTTCTATTGCCTAATATCATCATCAATTATCTGAAAGATGTCAGATTATATTTATTTATATTTAAAAATCATTTCATTATCTACTTACTAAAGTAGATAAAGTATATCATTACACTCAAGATTATGCGCATTATTCACTCGGATGGTTTTGGTCCCTCGTCTGGCGACTCGAGACACAAACCTGCATTGTCTCTCGTATAATAATATACCTATTAAGTCCGTTTAAATTTAAGCTGCAACTAAAAAATGTGGGCATGTGTTTAAGCAATTAATTTTGTTGATTTTTTTTTGTGTGAATTGCACAGTTTATTATGAAAGCTTTTGTTAATTTCTTGTTTTATATTTCATGCTTTGAAATCGAGAGATTAATGAGTCAGAAGGTGAGTGCATCGTTTGCTGCCTGAAACAGCTAGCTCAATTTATTTAAATGTAACTTTAAATTAAAATTTTCAATTTAAATAAAAGCTCTTTAACAATAAAAGTAGTAATAAAAAATGTAATTAATTTTTAATAAAATGAACTCAAATTGTATCTAGGTACAAACAACAATTTTAAAATTTTTAAACAAATTAGTTAAAAAAATATGATTTACAATATTTGTTTAAAGTATTTTTAGGGGATTAATTAAAAAAAATAAAAAAATATATAACAGGGTAAATTTTATTAGCAATGATGCAAACTTTACTTTACCAAATGGCATACAAAACTACACGGTAAAGTAAATAGATAAAGCTACAAAATTTTGTAAACTTCATTAATATCGGACAAAAACTGTTTATGTTATAGCATTTTGAAAATTGTCCAAATTTGGATAAAAAAGAATTTGCTTTTTAATATCTTATTATCGTTCGGAATGTGTTCTTGGCTATTTGTTTTACACTTTCCCAAACAAAAAAATAATTATTGTGAGGTCTGGGGATCTAGCCTGCCAAGATGTCACGCTCCTTCCAAACCATCTTTCACCAAACTGTATTTAGCCAATCAGTAATCATTTGCGTGGAATGTGCAGGGCAGCTGTCATATTAAAAAAATATGAGAAAATTCGGTGATAAATCTTTTAAAATTAGAAATGCGGACCTAGATTTTAATTTCATGCAACTTCTCTAAAAAAATTTTTGATGTATAATGTAAAGTACTAATTAAACGCGAACGAAGTTAGCGAATGTTTTACCCTGCGTCATCAATTTAAAATGTAAAAAACATGTTTTCTTACTACCTCGACTCAAAATACGTTGTTTCGTCCCCGATTCCACGGCAGAAAGTTTACGTTTCTTGCATTGGTCAAGCTATACGCGCACATTCTAATAGCGGGAGTAAAAATTTTTTAGTCGTGTGCTTAACATTAAAATTTCGTACTGCCAACATGAGAAACACAAAAATATGACAGTTTTAAACCATAATTTTTCAATTATAACAACAAATAAACAATTTATGTTTTTACTTTTTTACTTTTTATGCTGTTTTAAGTGTTTAATGGTACTTTTATTTGTTATAAAGTAGTAATTTGTTAATTAAAATACAACGTTTTATTTTTACTGTATTGGCACCGCTGAATTCACGGCCTACTGTTGTTTATTTATCAAGCTCTTCAAATGGAGATAGGTACATAAATACACATTTAATTTTTTCCCGTATTTTCGGCCGGGTTGTATTTTCGGCCGAGGTAGTAAGAAAAATAGTATACACTACACGGGCAGAAAGTGTGAGAGTCCTGAACTGCGCGCCATGATGCCCTCGGCTTCGCCTCGGGCATCATGGCGCGCAGTGCAGGAATCTCACACTTTCTGCCCTTGTAGTGTAATATACTATTTTATACATACTTAGAGTCGGTCCGGCGAATGTTTTACCTTGCGTCATCAATTTAGAATAAGATAGAATCGCTGAATGCCATCGGTAAAATTTACAAAAAAATAACATTGAAATGACTTATTTTAGGTAACTATTTTCTTCCTTATCAGTAAATATTTTCCATTTTTTTAAATTATATAATATATCTGTATATTTTAATAATAAAGTTTTAGTATTTCCATGCATACAATAAATGATTAACCTGACCGCCCTTATCTTCTGCCCTTTAAAGAGACCCTATAAACATTATCCGAACACTGTTTTTTCTTTATTTTGGTAATAGAGACTTCCCAATTTAGGCAAATTAAATCTTTACCATTATGTATTTCGCTTCATCCTATTGTAGATGAGGCATTTTTACCTAACAGAGCAGCTGCACTCATACAACTTTTATTCCAAAGCCCTCAATTGTGATATGATTATCTTGTTCCAAATTAACAATATATTAAAATGTTTAAAAAAGGTATATTTTATAAAGTTTAATAATTTATTGACAAAAATGTAATTTGGAAATAAATTAAGAACATTTTCCTTCCGAAAAAAGGTCAACCTTTTCAAGAACATTAGGCAATAAAACAGTTGGGATATCCTTTCCTCTAACAAAATCTGCATGAGTAAAACTTGTATCCGATATCAAGTAGTATCCACACTGAAATGTCGGATTAATATCGTCGTACGCTTCTTTAGAATTCTGTAAATAAAAACTTATATAAAAAATATCCACATTTATTATATATACTTACAGTTGCAGTACACAAATAGTCGTTGGGTCCAGAAAACATGGCAATTGACACTTTGATATTCTTTAGCTCGTACGTTTGTTCCAACTGAATAAATGGAAAAATTGATATTTCCTCTGAATATTTTACCAATTTTTTGCTTTTCATAATATTTATAAATTGGTCCAAAAGTTTAACGCTTGTTGATGAAGGATTTTGGGTTAAACTTGCTGTTATAGTTGTCTAAAATAACATGCAATATTTATTTTTAAAGTGTCCATGAAAACGAAACTATTTTACAAATTTGGTGGGTGCCTAGTGGGTATTATAGTATGTTGTAATAAACTTATAAGTTATAAGGTTTTGTGTTGTCATTTAATAAAGAGTTTGGTTGCACTATCTGTTAAAAGAAAAAAAAAATATTTTAAATATTATATAATTTATTTTTATTTATTGCAATTTTTGAGGGTTCGAGTTTTAAGTGCAAACATTTTTGGTTTCAAATAATGAATTTTTTTGGACCAATTACTTATTAAATTCATTTTAGACCATATATGCCAGTAGTGATGTTTTTCAGCGGACAAATGAAAATAGTACTAGACACCTACTAAATTTTAAGTAAATCGATTTAAATTGAATATTAGACTTTAAAAACAGAAGTGCATAAAGTTCACTTATTACATATTTATTACTCACTGGATCAATTCCATCATTATTAAATCCAAAAAATAATGATTGCATGGTGACTTGGGTCATAATACTTTGATAAGTGGGATTGGGGTTTGATGGTGAAAGTGTTTTTAAGCTTACTTCACAATGAGAAATAAGTTGAGGCACAGTCTAAAAAATAAATATTTTATTATAAAATTTTATAATTATAATTACTTATTTATGTAATTAGGCCAAGAAGTGGACCTTTTTGTACTAACCTCAACGTTAGGGTACAATTGAGCAAAGCACAAAAAGACCCTTTGGGCCGAATGGCATACTAAACTTGATCTTCAAGTTGTATTGTTATTTAGAATTTAAAGTAAATTTTATTTGTTAAACGATACATAAAACGTTAAATTATTAAAGTAGAAAGTGAGGTTAGAAGGGTTTGACAGTAGTCGAGTTTTATAATTAATCCAAATCACGGTGCCTTTACCATACTCAATCACTTTAGTTTCGAGGGTTGACGAAAATAAAGTATAATTGACAGACCGCTTAAAGACAAAAATATATAATAGTTTTATATAAGCCAAATTATGTCAACTGTAATAAACTGTTGTATAAAAGATGTAAACAATTTTGAATTTACTATTTAGTGATACTCAACAGTAACATCAAACACTCATTAAAATAAAGAAAATATTATTTAATGTGCAGAATATTGCACTTTTCATAATTGTGAAAAAAATAACAAATTAAGTAATGTTTATGTTTTGGTACCATTTATTACTCAATTAATGTCTAAAATTATTTTAATTTTTATATTTTGATGACACAAATTCTTTACAGTTACGGTGTTTTGGTAAATGTAGTACTTACTTTAACAATTGGCCAAAAATCGTGTAAGGTCCAAGCAATTGAAGGAGTGTTGTTCAAATAAATAGCCGGCCCCATCATAACAATTCCGTTAAGGTTTTTTGCTGCATCATCTGGATAGCCTGCTGCATACATAGTACTTAAAGTTGTACCCATTGAATATCCAAGCAAAGTTACTTTCCTATTCGATTCTTTTACAACATAATTTATTGTATCTTTAACATCTTCGTTGACCAAATCATCTAAACTATAAAAAAAAATGAAAAAAAACTGGTTAATAGCCATTTTTTGTGGGGTTATCTGAGAAGTGCTCATATTGTTTATTTTCTAGATATTGTTAAAAAAAGAATATATATATATATATATATATATATTTAAAGTAATTTAAGATGTCATATCAACAATTTTTACCCAATGGCAACTAAAGGAGGAAGCGGTACATATCATTCAAAGGGAAAAAGTAATGCAGAGCCTTTGAAGATACTGGCAGTGATTGGGAAGAAGACTATTTAAAAGTTGAATCATGTGGCTTTGTGAATGTAAATCTGGTTATTATTTGGTTTAAATTAAATTTTTTTTTACTTTGTGGGAGTATTATTCATTTCATATCGGGTACTAGGGGGAATGTCAAATATTGTTCTTTTTTCCATTTTTATTCTGGCAATATATTTGATATCATTTTGAAATAAACATATGCAGAAATCAACATACAGGCCCAAAAATACAGCGGCCACCATAATGTTTCCCCAACGACAAAAGGCGATCTGAAAACCTTGTTTGGTATTTTAATCCTTTATGTTGCAAAAAAATAGTTCTCGTTTTATAGATCTTCTATATATTGTGATCTTTTTTTGTTCTGGCTAATTGTCTTAGGTTTCATGAAACAAGACAGGCAAAAAAGTAAATACTCCTATTACACACATTCGAGAAATTGGGAAAAAACTTAAAACGTGTAGAACACTAAAGTCCACAATTGATGAACAGCTTTTGGCATTTCGAGGACGATTTCCTTTTAGGATGTACATTTCAAATAAACTTGCTAGGTATGGGATAAAAATTGTTATGTGATTCCTCAACCAAGTTTATGATGGACACTAAAATAGATACCCAAGAACTTATTTGATGAAAAAAATCAAAACCCAAAAACGTCAATGTTTTGTTTTGATCAAAAAAAGACATTAGTATTTTACATGCTAAAGAAAAACAAACTAGTTTTGTTACTTTTAACATTGCATGAAGAAGTAGAGAATAATGAAGAAACTAGAAAGTTAGCAACTATTATGAGACCAAAGCAGGTGAAGAGACATTTCACCAAATGTGTTACAATATAAGTTTGAGCAGAAAAACATGCAGATGGCCACTCTATATGTCCCATGGTATGATGAATATGGCCAGCATAAACGTTATTTACTCTTTTAATACATTAAAAAAGGGCATCTTTTTTTTTAAATCTCCAAATCGTGGATGATGCATAGATATAACAGCCTTACGTCGAAATGTTCGTGAAGTTATAGGTAAAATCCTTGGTATATTGAATGAAGACGTTGTCAAAAAAGAAGAGGACTTCTTTTAACTGTCCAAGCAAAAAAAACGCATGACCTCCAATTCTTGTAAGGAGTGCAAAAAGCCGTATTGCGGAGGAGATATTTTCACGCTGTGCAATTCACAGTATGTTGTGAAAAATAATAAAAACAAATTGGTTAATAATATTAAAACGTCTGTTCTGATAATAATAAACCTTACCATTCTTTTTGTATTTTCTAAAAATAAATTTTCAAAATAAATTGAATAGCAAAATTAACGAAAGTAAAAGTAATTTCGTTTGAGAAAAGTTTACAAAAAAATATAAAAAAACTGTCTGTCAATGGAAGTAAAGGCCACCTATTATTTGGTTTTGAAGCAATTATAAACTTTTGTTTAATGTAAAACTGATCTCTAGGAATCACATGCTCGTTAACATTGCTCTCCTACTATTAGTCTATCTTAATTTCTATTAGTTCCTTTATTCTTCCATTCCATTATATAATACATCTTATTGCTTTTTCAACAAGCTTTATACTTATACATTCAAAATTTAAAGTGCTGTTACGTGAACAATTGTCGGATTTTAATGCAATTTTCTTAATTTGAACCTTTATCCATCTTTTTATTGGGTAAAAACGTAAAATGTTTAGCAAAATTAAAAAAATATCTACAAAAATTCTGATATGAGTATTTACTAAAATAAATGTCAACAAAATCGCAATCATGTTTTGGTTTAAAAAATATTGGATGAATAAACATTAATTGGTGTTGTTCTCATAATTTATATAATTAATTTATAATATATGTTAACACATGAGGTTGATTTAAGTGCAATAATTATATCCGATTTTTATAAAATTTTAAACATTTGTAGCTTCATTATCACAATTATTGTGATAATGAAGATACAAATGTTTAAAATTTTATAAAAATCGGATATAATATGCTTTTGTAGAAGAATTCCGAATTTTTAAAATGGACAAATTTGGGATAAAAAAGATTTTATTTCTTTAAAAACGTAAATTTTAAAGGGAATTAGCGTATGAATGTCTTTATTTTAACATTTTTGTCGCGATGAATTTTTGATTGGTATGAAATAATAAGTTATGGTTTGTTTGTAGGTTAAAATAACAATAAATGGAGTTACAATCGCTCTGGCAAGATGCTGCTTGTCCGTCTCGGTTGAAGATTTTATTGCAACTTGAAATCTAATCACTTGGTTTTACAAATCTGCTGCTTAGCTAGACTAAATTCTAAGGGTTAGTGGAAGTTGGATCAAGCTTTGGGAAAGGTTTCGGACATTTCCAGCTTTAAAATAGAAAGGTAACAAAGACACAAATACATTTTCAACCATTGCAAAGGTTAAGACGTGTTTGTAAACAAATTTAGAGAATAAACTAATTTCCCCAGCTCAAATTTAACAATGAATATAGTAACCCAAGAGATTCAGGATTTATGTCACTGTCATATATAAGTATGTTTACAGTTTTATGGTTAAAAAATAACCATTACAAATTTTATCACGTACATTTTAACAAAATGTTATTTTTTTCAGTCAATTAGAAGTTATAATTTAAAACCCATACTTGGTTAAATATTTTAATAAAAAATACGAATTTGAATGTTTGGACGTTTTTACAAGATTGTTACACAGTCAAAAGTTTTATAACAGCTGCCAATAAATAATATAATCATTTAAATTTTTTTTTTATAATGTACAATATTGATATATTCTTTATTTTATTTTAATGCATTATCAGATATAAACAAATATCAAAAGGAATATTTATTATTGCCCCCAAAAATCCAATCCTCACCTAAAACTCCAAAAATCACATGATGTATCTGAATATTTAATATGTTTTCTACTTTCTCCTACTCCTCTGTAACTTAACAGCCAAATTGCGTATCCAGCCTTTGAAAAAGCATAACCTTTAAAAAACCAAATTATTTAAAAAACTAAAATTAATGTTGGTGGTAAAATCTAACCGTACGATTTATCTCCTGTAACTAAAAATCCTTTGGTGTCCATCATTATTCCTGGCATAAAAATTACAGTTTTACTTGGAGATATGCCAGAAGTATGGGTTTTAATAAGGGTTAAATTGTATCCTGAACCAACTATAATATGTCTTTTTTCGACGTAGTTTCCCCATGATTCCAGAATTTCTGCCTAAAATCCTTTTATTGCAATAAAAGTAAAACATGATTTATATTAAAAAAAATTAAACAAAATTATGTTCTAAAACATCAAAGGATTAAATTGGTTTAAATATCTACTTATAAGTGATAAAAAAGTAAGGTAAATATGTGATAAGAACACCATTTAATTTAGGATTTAAAAATAATTATAAGATTGAGATTATGGGTTTAAGTATCTACTTAGACCTATACTTAAGTGATAAAAAAGTAAGGTAAATAAGCTTGTGATAAGAACACCATATAATTTAGGATTTAAAAATAATTACAAGATTAAATATAATTATATTTAATCACTAATTAATGAGTGAACTACCTATACGAAAGACTTTGCTTTTAATTTATATATTTATAAACTAAATTTTTTTATTCCAAATGGTTTTTAAAAAAATTAAAGCTTATTGTGTTGTGTTGTTATTTTAATTATGTAAAGACACAACATATTATGAATAAAAACAAAATATATAATAATTTAAGTAAATACATTGTAATTATATATTCAGACACCAAAAATAATCAAAATACGATTTTTTTGCTCGATACTGTAAATTTTTGTACACAAAAAAAATATTTGTTTAGGTTCATTTTGATATGAATTGAAACAAATTATTTAAATTATTACCTATAACCAAATATATTATCTTTGCCTATAACTTTGAAGGGAGAAGATTCTTACCTAAAATTTAGTCTACTTATGGTTTTTCAAAATTTTATTTTTTCAGCATTACCATACATTTAATAAAATTCAAAATTAAAGAAACATCAATAGGTATAAAAACTTTTCATAAATTTCAAAATAAAACCAAAACTAATAATGAGGATGGCATATATTTTATGACTTAAATAATTCTTTCTTGAGGAATATTGTTTAATTTCTCCTAAACTTGTACTGCTAGCACCTGGAGATTATTTGGCTGTTCTCGATTTCGCAATCTTCTTCCCATGATGCTGCAAATATGTTTAAGTCAGGGCTGTGAAATATTCCTTGTCAAAAAATTTTAATCAATTCTTGCAGTGTTTCCTTGCATTATCCAATTTAAAAAAGCCCATGGCAGGACAATAGGTTCTAATATCTTATCAGTGATACGCCCAGCTGTTAGAGTAGGTACCATTTTCAAAAACATAAATAGATGTACCATTACGGAACCACCTCCATAGGCTTGTACTTCTCTCATAGTAAAATCCAAAAATTGTCCTTCACCGCGTCTATAGACTCTTACACATCCATTGTTAAAGTAAAGGCAAAATTTTGATTCATCGGTAAAAATAACATGGCTTGATTGGCTGGAGAGGAATAATAGCTTGACTTATTGAGTGTAAATGGGCTTTGTAAAGTCTGTATAGTCTGTAGATATATATATGTCTCTACAGAATATGCAGACTTTACAAAGCCCATTTACGTATACGTCTCTTAGTAGCCTGAAAATTAAGTTTCTTATTTGTGTAAATATTCTTGTTCTATCTTTTTGGAAAAATCGTAAAATTTGGCGGTCCTGTCCGGGCATAGTTATTCTTTGTTGTGTTTTATATGCTTTTCTACATGTAATACCTTAAAATGTATTCCACAATCGTTGAATCGTTGTTTAAGTTGTTTGAAGCAAGCGGGATACTTATTTCTGTGAATGCCTTTCTTGTAATAGTGTGACTGATTTAGATACTTTTTCACTTGTTTTTGCAATAGGCGTTTTAAGAACATTATTATTCATAATTTTGATTTAAAAAGTAATGTTACAGAATAAAACTGAATGTATAACATATAAGTATAGTTTCAATTTTATGCGTTTAATTTTTTTGTCAGATCCTAATAATAAGTATAGTATTTTTTAAATAAACATGAAGATACAGACCTGCATTTAGAATTTTGTGAAATCATGACCAATAAAATAAAAAATCAGATATACCTATATACTAAAAAATATTTGCTTCAACGATAAGTGTTATTTTTTCTAAACGGAAATGTTATCAAACAAAACTGTCGTTATTGGAAGAATAAAAATCATCATCTTATCAGAGAAAATTATACCCAGTATCCAGAAAAACTTGGGAAGGAATTTTTGGAGATTCTATTATTATAAAATAATTATAAAAATTATTTTGCGAATTTCTCAAAAAATTAAACTATTAAAAAGTATTTGTTTAATACTGTTAAAAATCAATTTTCAAGAGGTATCACAAAGAGAGTCTTGCCATTAAAAATTGAGTTTGGTGGCCACAGCCCCAGGTCATTTTTGTGGTAATAGTTATTACCCCCACATATCCTAGAAACGGTTTTAAGAATTTTTTGATATCTTTTTATTTACGTTTTTAAAAACACTCTGTATATCCACATCTACCAACAAGACCAATACCGTAGTAAGTTAGACCTCAAAGTACAGCACTTTTATCTAAATAGGTAAAACTTGTCCATACTCGTGACCAAAACATTTCTATACTAAAACGTTAAGCATTTGGGGTTAGAATTACTAAAGTTCTTCATACGAATCTTGTAAAATGGTTGGTCGAAAACTGGTAAATTATGATTTACGATGAGGGATATAACTACCAGTTCATATACATATAGGTATATGAAGAGGTATGTATTACGTAATGGACCAATTATTTTTACTATAAAGTAACTTATCCGGAATGGGATCACGAAAGAAAAATTTAGTCCGAGGGGTTTGGGGAAATATGTGCAATACAAAAATAACCAGTTCTAGGCCAATTTTTCACTCACAAATAATATTTGATCTTAAACACAAAAGTTTGGTTATATTTAAAAAAAATGTAACCTTCTTTATGAGCTATTTAACTTATTTTGTTGCTTCGGCATGCTTATGTTGAATGCAAACACCAACAAACATTTGCAGTTAACGTTTGGGAGGAAATTATTGGCATAGTCTTCGACCTAACAAACTTCTTTTTAGAAAACGTTTACTATAAGATTCCATACACTACCAGAATCCATATGTTGTATATAAATGACGTAGCACCGCCACATTGTATGTACGTTGGTGGAAATATTTAAATCAAGTTATTCCTAAAACCGTTTGGCCACCACGTTCTCCTGACCTTAATTACTTAGACTTTTATGTCTTGGGTTGTTTAAAAACTCCCGTTTATCCAACTCCAGTACGTAATATTGAAGAGTAACGAGAAAGAGTTTATAATGGATGTCAAAGCATTCTTCATAGCTGTATTCAGATGAATGGAAGACATTTTTAACATTTGTAATAAAAGTTTCAAAGTTAATATTTTTCCAAATTATTTAACTTGTTTGATAATAACGCGGGTGATTGTAAATCATCCTTACATTAAAGTTTTTATTGTTTATTTGATGCTGATAAATGTCCCTTTACATTGATCACCGTAGACCTGCTTAGATCAACGTTGACGAAATTCCGTTTTACATGGGTAATCACTTAGACAATATGTCTATGGGTATTATATCAATCATATATTTTAATATTTCTATTTCGCGTTTCGCGAACAAGCAATTATACATATGCATACATTATTTAAACAAAAGTTGTTGCCAATTATCTTACCATTAACAATAGTATCTAAGGAAATTAACCGTAAGATAAACTTAACGACCGATTGAAAAACCGGCCCTATGTTTATTTAATTATAATTAAAAATATTAGTCTTAATATAAGTCTTAATATTTTTTTAGCAAATATAAAAAAGGAGAATGAACTGGATTTGGATAACAATTTATTAAATTTTTAAAAAGATGTGGCACCACCTCATTATCTAGTAGCTGTTAGGGCTTAAATTTTCTACTTAAATTAGTTTTGCATATTTTAAAAAGGTTTACTTTTTTACATTTACAGTTTAATAGCAGTGTAACATTGTAATACTTTAGTTTAAGTATAAAATTTAAATAATATAGCAATTTTTTTAATTTAAAAAATATTAGATATAACAAAATTTGGTATTTATTTTAATGTAGCTGATAAGTGGTTTGCAATTATAAATATCAGAAATTTAAATAAGTCAGTGCACCAAAAAAAAGTTTGTATAGACAATATATTTTTATAATAAAAATTACCTACTGCACTCATATCACCATAAGGATTGTTCCAGCAAGGAGGTTTGCTGGGATTTTTGAAATCATCCATTGTTTGGCATGCTGTAGTACATTGTCCTTCTGAGAAACAACCAGCTAAAAATACGCACCCCAAAAAAAATTTTAAGTTCATTTTTAATTTTGTAGGTACTAAATTTTTTAAAATTGTTTTTGTTTTATATATTGCTAGATAATATTTTTATCAGTCTGTAAATTTTAAGTTGTTTGAATAATATGTTGGCCAATTATTTTTTTAAATGTACGTTTTATTTTTATGTTAAAATTTATTTTCCTATAATTAACAAATTTATTTCAACATTAATTTTTGCTTGCATAAATAACTTTAATCTGTTTTATTATTATAAATAAAATTAAACAATCCCTAAATTTACTCATGACTATTTTTAAAGGCATTAGTTTAGTTCTAAGGGGCCAGTGTAATGTACCACACTAATAAAAACGTTCATTTCGCGTGTCCCTTAATGGGGAATACGTTCAGTAAGAAGACAGTTTAAAAAAATCTTTGTAAACTAATTAAAATACACTCCAAAATTAAGGTAATCTTGGCCCATTCGCCATTTGTACTTTAGGGTGATTTTTTATTTTTTTTTGATAATTTATAGTACACTCGGATTCTTAAAGATTATTGAAAACAAAATTTCCTTAACATTTAAGGTCAATTGGAGGTCCCTTACCTTATTGTAAGTAGCTTCTCTGATTTTCATTGGATTGAAAGCTGTTGACCATTTCAATATATTCTTTATACAATATTATAACAATTTGTTTAATTAACAATTATCATAAATATAAACTATATGTCCAATGATTTTTTTTGCCAATATTGGTAAAACATTTAGTTTACGCCTAGGAACACTTATTAAATTACGGCAACCCATAGTTAAATATACACAGAAAAAAGTAATGTCTTGATTTAAGAAAATGCATTTATTTGAAACAGTTTTTCTTGTATGAAGTAAAATTGTCTTATTCGTAGTAACTTCTTGTTTACAATAAGAAAATACTATTATTTGGTTGTAAATCATGAGTTTTTTGAAAACAACTTATTGTTGTGATTAATTGTAAAGAAATATTTATTTAGAGCAATTAATTAAATTGTTTGGATATAGGTTGTATGGATTTAGTTTTATCAAATGTTAATACAAGCATATAATATCTTATTTTAACAAAATAATAGAATTGATACAATGTATGTCATATAATTAACGTAAACACGTGATTTGTTTGTTTCAAAAATACATTTACTTGAAGCAAATACATATTTATTTGCTTTTATGTCCACGTGACTCGCGGAGCCAATTAGAGCATTTGACTCCAAAGACAAAGACGCTTGTCCGGCAGCCGGCAGCATTTGCAAACAAACTCGCAACTTAAGAGAAGGAATCAACGGTTATAGTTTTGTGTTTAAGTGCTTATGTTTAATAGTATGGAAGAATTCTTCAAAGAAAATAATTTAACCCATTTGCTTTTTAGTTTTGTTGGTAAGTAAAAGTGATTTAGTTAATTAAAATTTTGTGTACCTAGGTAGTTTGGAAACTACAAAGTTATATGATAATATGGTTGTTGCTTTTAAATATAATTGCACATTTTACTTACAGGCCATAAACTAAAAATAAACCGTTTCTTTTTGTATTTGACAAGTGCAAGTAATTTTGGTTGGCAAACTATATGTATTTGTTTTTAAACTATAGGTACCTACCTAGGTAGGTGTTTTCAACAAAGATACCTATCTGATAATAATAAATTAAGTTTTTAAAAATGTTCAAATGTCCCATAAATATATTTCCTGAATTAATGCGAACACGTTTAAGGTTCTGCTGAAAAATTGCTTGTTTTGACTTATATCCACAGACTTGGTGTATTTTATTAATGCCGTGCATTAATATTTACACTGAACTTCAGTGACTGAAGTATTTTTTGTTCCTATTTTTGTCCGCTCATATATTATATGTTTTGTTTATTGTTAATTTTATATTGTGTGTTTTTAATGTTTATTGTAAATACGTATTTACAACAAAACAAGTGTACACTTGTTTTGTTCAAATAAAAAATATTGGAATAAACGTTTTTTAATTTAATTTTCCCGACCAAATATAAAGTAATTAACAACATTAAAATAAATAAATCATAGTATTAAAACAAGCAAACATTTGTTTGGTTCAATCACTATATATTTTGTGAAATTATAACATTAAAAGGTACTAATTATTTGTCTGAAATAAATTGTTTTCTTCATGTAAGTAAATATTTTGTTTATTTAAGATAGCTTCACATTTAATTTAAAAAAATGAATTACTTACTTCAAGTAAATGTTTTGTTTCTTTAAGTAAGATTCTACTAAACCTGAGATAAAAAGTCAACTAAATATTTACTTGTATTAAACAAACCATCAGTTTAAAAAGTCAAATAAACCCAAGTTTTCCAGTAAATAAATATCTTCTTGTATCATATCGAAATAAATAATTTATTTGAGTCAAGACAGATATAGTAAAATCAAGAGATTACTTTTCTCTGTGTAGTTAAAATATGATTTTATAAAATATCGCCCATAATTAAAAATTCCCATATAAAACATTTTTTATAATTAAATTAAAATGACAGATTATGTGGAAAAAACTCTTTCGGAAAAGTATTTTGAAAAATATATTTTGGATGAAAACTTCCATCATTCAACAAATTTCCTTTATATCTGCAGATTTCATATTTCATTTCATATTTTTTTCGTTCGCAATTTACAAAATCATGCATACAAAAATTCAAATTAGGCTTGTAGTTTTTTTCTCAATGTGCTGGTGATGCTATTTTTAAAAATATAATCAGGAAAGATAAAAAGGACGAAGTATTCATTGAAAACTTTCTTACTACGTACATTATTGATATTTATTGGAAGAAAATAACAATTACATTATCTACCTTGCAATGTCTGATAATTTCTATATCCATATTTTTTTACAAGTGGGAGAATTTTCCAATGTTCATGTATCGCCAAAAACAATGCTTGCCTTTGGAGTAAAGAATAAAATAAATTATTTTTTTAAGTTTCAATGGTACCGAAGAACGTGGAGTAACGCTCAAAACAACAATCTCTACTACAAGAGTAAAGAGAAAAGCAAGCAAGGTACATGTAGATACAAAAAATCTTCCAGTTGAGAAAAAAACACCAGCTTAAAGTTACTTTATCTATTTTGCGTTCATAATGACTTCATTATAACACCGCTTTCGGTGCTGTAATTATTTACTTTACCCCACCCAAAATTTTGATTTTATAGGTTATAATATTTTTATGATTTTTCTAGTACTTTCCTGCCAATAAATTTTGTTTAACACCAAAGAAAATCCTTCTTTTTTCTTTAACATTAACAGCCGTTTATTGTAAATAAGTAAATTAAGAACGGCATGGCGAATCGATTTTGACAACTGTCAAACAAATGATTGTGATACCAACTATCTAAAATAAAATTCGACCAAATTAAATATAAGGTATCTAGTATTTTTTTTTATATAATTTTTGCAAAATAGATAAAATAACATAAAGAACTCATGTCATAAGACCTTTTGTCGCACTCGTCCATTATATGAAAATTATTTAATTATCTACTAATTGGAGTAGATGAAGTATAATATTACAGTCGAGATTATACGTCTTATCTTTCGTATAATAATATAGTATTTCCTACTTAGGCACCTATTTTTATACATTTTGCAACCTAAAATTATTTTTATAGTTATCAGAAGATTTCGGGGTATATACTAAAATGGTGATTTTTTTCAATAAATAATAATTATATAATAAATATATTTTCAATAAATACTCCTGATTATAATTCGACCATAGAATCACAAGCACTGTACATCGAAAAAAATAACCACAAGCCTAATTTAAATATTTGTTATGCATGATTTCGTAGAACAAAACAAAAAATATTGTGTTTTTAGACGTATAATAAATGTTTCATCATTTTTTGACTAGAAGATTCATTTCAAATATAATTTATTTATATTTATAATATTTGCTAATTAACAAATTGTTATAAATTTTTTCATACAGTATATCCAAATAGTTTTCCGTTTAATGGTCATCACTCATAAAAATTTAGCCATTTGCATTTATATTTGACTGAAATATGCGCATTTGCTTAAAAAAATATACCTTTTTTGAGATATCTGGTCACCCTGTTTAAATTAAATAAACTTTTTTCGACAATGTTTTCCCATGAAAAAATATTTTATTGGTTTTATATATATTGTGAAAAAGTAAAGATATAAGTAATCGTCTTATTTTTAGAATTTGTAAAAAATTTTATTGTTAAAATATATAATAATATAATACAAAAAATATTGTACGTTCTTTAAATAAGAATCTAAGGTGTAAAAAATCGTATAAATTCGTATTCAATACACCCATCTTCTTTGTAGTTAAGTGACACTTGTTGCTTAGCAGTACTTAAGTAACGGTAAAGAAGATTTAAGTACACTTGGCTACATAATAAAAACGAGGGTATAACGACTGTCTATTCTATACTTTGCAGATCTGGGCAGTAAGTGATTCCCTTACTGGTGTTAAGGCTATTGTGTTTTTGAACCCTAAGTCCTATCACCAAATCTTAGTAAGCTTAAAAGCTTTAAGGATTGCTTGTTGGATTCCGTAAAGAGTTTTGTTTATAGCAAAAGGGCTAATTAGAAAAATGACCTTATGTTCTTTTGATCACTAAAATTCGTGGCGATAAAGTTTTAAGTTTGATTGTTACTCATATTGTTGTAAATGCTGCAGCTGGCGCCACTAGGTCTGCAAGCTTAGGTCAAGACTCATCGGCACGGATCGGATAACATCTTAGATTACACGCTTACTACAGGAAACAACTTCCTGAGCGGTGGTATTGTCATATAATATTTAATTTATTATTATTTGTGGTATTATATTTTTATAGTTGTTTATACAAAAGAATTATTATTACTTTTTGTATTATTATTATTTTAATCAACCATTCTATAATTCTTGTAAACACTGGTAAGAATTTGTTAAAAAGTGCAAACTATTAAAATATGACAAAAAAATTAAAAAATATTAAACAAACATTTTTTTTTATTTCAAAACATGTTTGCATTTGCATTTAATTTAGTTTTAATAATACAA